TCTAGAGCATTTCTTAGGTCTTTGTACTTATCACCCAATGCATTTAATAGAGCAACAACTTGTTGATTCTCAGATAGTTCTTCATCACAGTCTGTTATTTCTTGTACCAATTTTGTGAATCTATCAATATTGTCTTCTAGATTGGAGGAGGGATCAAATCTGAAGTTATAGAATTGTCGTAGGAGGTAGCATTTATTAGGTATAGACTTAGTCAGATATAGAGTTTCAAGTTTAGCCCACAAACTCTGAGTATTAGTAGTTTCTCCAACCTTTCTAATTACAGTATCAGATAAGTGAAGAAATATAGAACTCCAGGCAATCTCGTCTAACTCTTGTCTCCTATAGGCACTAAACTAAAGAGGCCAAGTACCATCAATAGCAGCAACACATCTCTGTTGTAGCAACAGAGCCCTAATTTGCTAATGACACAGGCTAAAATCTCCAGTCCCTTTCTAAATCTCTACTTCAAACTTATGTGAGGTAGACATGATTACAAACAGGTTCACAACAGGAACAAGTGTATGTTTCACACAAAGTGCAACCATATATACAGTATAGTAAAAAACAATGGCAGAACTAATAATGTGATTAGCAAGCAAAGTTATATACAAGATTGTCAGTTTGACAGGTTTAAGGAGTGATAAACCTTTTGATCATCCACTCCCTCAGATTCCCAGATCCTCAATGAGATCTTGGATAAAGGAAAGCAGAGGAGAGCTAATTACCTTAATAACCAAATCAAAAACTGACAATGCAATGAATAATATGGAACAAGAAATGAACAGGGTAAGAAGGATTATACTAGAGCTGAAACCTCAAAGTTTCAGAGAAGGAAGAGTATGAGATAATACTAGAACCGGTTCAGTTTTCACAATTGAGTATCAAGAATCAACGAGTCACAGCAACTCATTACGATCAGGAGTTAGTCAAAATAACTCAGTAAGAATCGGAGTGAGTCAACTCAGCTTACAGTAACTTAGAACGAGTTCATACAGAACCCCAACACTGTGACAAGTTACAACCCAAAAACACCAAGAACTCAGCAAGAGAAGCAAGATCCACCAGAACCCAAAAAAAAAAAAATATTTTTCACACAGAAAAACAAGTTTGGAACTATCAAAGAACCAGTCACTTAGAAACCAAGGGTTTTTTTCAAAAGGATCCAATCAAAAAATTAGATCGAAGAGCAAATGAAACACGCAGTTTCAAAAAACCACAAAAGTTATTTTTCAAAAACAATATTTTGAAAAACATGTAGATCTGCAAAACGCGATTTTGATAAAAACCCTAATCCCGTAGAAGGAGGCTCTAATACCACTTGTTGGTCCAGAATCGATGTTTGTAACATAAACATAAAATACAAGAAATCGCACAAACAGAAAATAGAACACGAAGGAGTTTTTCGCCCCCTTTGGGGCCGGGTGTTCAGCTATAAAACCTACTCACCCGTTAAGCATCTACCAAGTAGACTAGGCACAAATCCACTAAGAAAATCACAAAGTTCGGATTACACAATGTATGAAGAAATCGATTTCTTCACTGTTTTCTCTAGCCTCTCATATACAAGTTTTCACTCTACTACAATGGTGTATACACAATACACTCAAGAATATTACTAAGATATTACACAAAATCTCAACACAAGACCTCAAGAACAGAAACCCACAGAAAGGTTCGAGAGAGAAAACCAAGAGATAACCCTAGAATACAAAAAACAGTTCATATCGAAGAATCCAAAGAACGGGTTATAAGGTAAACCTTCCACTACTCAATCTAACGGTCTAAATTATCCCAAGTGTAAGGCCAAGATTTCACCATCATTTAATCAGCAAACCGGTTAGACCCAAAGTAACACGCAGAATAAGGGCCAACAAACAGGAAATGCCCAATATATTAGAATAGAGAGGCAGCCCATATCCAACATGCACGAATTTCCAATCTTTTTACTGAGAAAATAAACGACATTGAGATATTTCGCCAATTTCAATGGGTGGGGAGTTTCGCACCATGTCAAACAAGGGAGGTTTTGCCCATTTTATTTTATCCATTTTTCCTATTTATTGGGATTTAACGGCACACCTGATGGTACATGACGATAGAGGGTATTCGGCATAAAAGGTTTCAAATATGGACTTTTTCTTCTATTTCCAATATGTAAGGGGCTTTCCTCATGACGTCTAATATGTATGAAGTTTTCTGCTATTAAGTCACATATAAAAATAAGAAACTAAAGAAAACCATAGGAATCTCATGCAATAAAAAATAGAATTAAACTTGTTGGACACTCCTTGTGTACAACAAGTTTGACACTCGAAGATTTAGCAAAATCTACGCCATTGATTGTTTAAAGTGTTGTTAAAATCAATATATAAAAAGATGTCAATTCACAATGACGTCAAACTTATTGTACATGTAGCAAAATTATAAAAATTAACAAGCAATTCCCCAAGTAGAAGGAATTACTCATGTTGAATAATAAATAGATCACCAAGGATTCCAAGCTCAGGATATCGCCTAAATACCGAATCAAACACCACAATTCCACAAACCCGAAACCACAACTCAATCCCAAACAATCAGTTGATTTCTTGGCTAGCCCACAAAGGGTTTTGGTATGAGTTATTTGAAGGCACACAAACAAGCCACATATGCTGGAAGAAACAAGAAGAAAAGCTCAACAGTGGAAGCACGAAGCAACTGTAGCCGCAGCCGGTTTCTCTCCTCACAGGTAAGTGCAAATATAATAGGGAAAATTAGGCACACTACCCCATAAAAATAAGAAATTTGAAAAATACTTTTAAAACTAATTAAAACGTTTAATCACGTAATTAGTACGTTCAAAACCCAAAACCCAGATCCCCAAATCAAACCTCGATGCCTAAAAACTCTCAGGCCATAGAGAGAAAAGCGTCTATACTCTCTCCTTCAAATTGTTTAAATGCTTTAAATGAAACATCTTGGGAGTTGGCCGCGAGCAAGAGCAAGCTAGTTTCCCTCCTTCCCCAAGTCTACGATGTCGGCCACAACTACTTCGACGAGAATTACGTCCAAGAACTCGTCGAGAAAGCCCCTTAGATTCCCATCATAACCAGGACAATTTAACGTATTTTGTAGCTGAATATTCTGATTGAATTTTGATTTTTCCATGGGCTTCTTATGGTCTAATGTGAATTGAAGATTTTGCTTTCTTCTGATTGAATTTTGATTTTTCCACGGGCTTTTATGGTCTAATGTGAATTGAAGATTTTGCTAGGAGAAAGTGAAGGGATCATTTAGAGTTTTTTTGGATTTGGAATAAAAAGTTTCGTAATGCAAGAGAGTTCTTTTGAGGTTTATTTACAAGTTTGGGATTATGGGAGTTGTTATTGTGCAATCAAGTCAGTTGGTTTCTTTAAAGGATATTTTTGTCTAGCTAATGTTCAAATAATGTTTACATAACAGTAAATTTTTCTTACAATATCAGAATCTCTTTCAGTTCTTTTTCTTTCTCAAAAACCTTTTTGCTTGTATAGAAGGATGGGCCCTGTACGAAGATAATATGCATTGAGTTGGTTGCTAATTGTTAGGCAATGTAGTGTTATTTATTGATTGTCCAAAATTTGGAGGTATTGCTATAATCAATTGCAGCTGTTTCCAAATGATATTGAGTGACATTTTATTGGGAATTTGTAAATCAATAGATTGAATCGATTATTTTCCTGATGGCCCGTTCTTACCAAATAAAGCATTTTTGGATTTGAGTATAAAGAAGTGAACTTTACTATCTCGTGTTTGAGATTGGTTTTAAGAGTTAGCGGTATTAGTTCTTGTATATTGAGCTCCAGTACAAGTTATAGAATGATTTCACAGGAGTCTTTTTATTTTAATAATCATGTTTATAATATTGGTATGTAAGAATAAATTTCACAATGTCTTTCTTCCATCCAAGATTGGTAGAATCATAGAAGTTGGAAGTGGATTTAGGTGGTGGTGGAAGATGATACGATGTAGACTAGTTAGGTAATGTAGATCGATGGTTGTGGATGATCATGCATGACCATGTGTAAAGGTTCATGTATTTTGTCACCCTTTTTAATTTATGTCACTATTTTGAGTGTCTATTATTTTTTCGAGTTTTTATCACTTTTTTAAATAGTGTGTCACTTTTTTTTCCTGTCATTATTTTTAGAAATAAACATCACTTTTTAATAAAAATGACATTGTATGTTATTTTTAATAGAAAAGTGACACTTAACTTTATACCGTAGTTTACTTCCAAAAAACTTTCTATAGGATAAATAGGTTGCTAAGTTCGTAAATGACGGTTGCTGTGAATTGACTTAAAGATACTTGGCGTTTTGATTGGTGTTTTGTCGATGAACCGACTTAAAGATACTTGGTGGTGAACGAAGAAAGAGGATGAACGGTGGTTGTGTCACTTTTTTTATTATTATTTCTGTCACTTTATTGAATTAAATCCAATGTTTTAATTGGTGTTTTGTGAGTGCTTTTTTGAATTTCTGTCACTTTTTTTGAATGTTTATCACATTTTTTAAACTGTCACTTTTTTTAGTATTTGTAGCTTGTTTTCGTTACTTACTTGAAATTTCTATATCACATTTTAATAAAAATGACATTGTATGTCAATTTTTAATAAAAAAAAAAAAGTGACACTAAACTCCGTAAAATTAAATAGTGACAATATGTCACTTTTTTAACATCGTGTCACTTTTTTTTATGAAAAAGTGAAAAAGTGATATACTGTCACTTTTTTTTTACACAGTATTTTTATTTTCAAAAGATTTTTTATATGATTTTTCAAAATACTTCTCATTTTAGGAGTATTTTTGTAAGTTGCCCTTATTTTAAAGGGAAAATTAGATTGGGCACCCTAAAAAAATAACAAATTAGATAAGTACCCCTAAAACTAATTATACTTCTTAATCCCGTAATTAATACGTGAAAACTCCCCAAATTTCAAAAACTCCAGAGAGTCTGACCTGAAATAATCTGCCCCAACCATGGAGGAGCAGGAGGTGGCAGTGGACTTGGTGGAAGATTGGGAGGTGGAGCTGGCAGTGGACTGGGAGGAGCTGGGGGTGGACTGGGAGGAGGAGCTGGAGCTGGAGGTGGTGGTGGACTTGGTGGGAGCAGCGATGGATGTTTAGGTGGTGGTGTAATGTTAGTTAACTAGGGAATTTCAATTGTTGAGGGGATTTTCAATTGATGATGGAATNAGAGAAACGTTCGAGAGAGAAAACCAAGAGATAACCCTAGAATACAAAAAACTGTTCGTATCGAAGAATCCAGAGAACGGGGTTATAAGGTAAACCTTCCACTACTCAATCCAACGGTCCAAATCATCCCAAGTGTAAGGCCAAGATTTCACCATCATTTAATCAGCAAACCGGTTAGACCCAAAGTAACACGCAGAATAAGGGCCAACAAATAGGAAAGGCCCAACATATTAGAATAGAGAGGCAGCCCATATCCAACATGCACGAATTTCCAATCTTTTTTACTAAGAAAATAAACGACATTGAGATATTTCGCCAATTTCAATGGGTGGGGAGTTTCGCACCATGTCAAACAGGGGAGGTTTTGCCCATTTTATTTTATCCATTTTTCCTATTTATTGGGATTTAACGGCACAACTGATGGTACATGACGATAGGGGGTATTCGACATAAAAGGTTTCAAATATGGACTTTTTCTTCTATTTCCAATATGTAAGGGGCTTTCCTCATGACGTCTAATATGTATGAAGTTTTCTGCTATTAAGTCACATATAAAAATAAGAAACTAAAGAAAACCATAGGAATCTCATGCAATAAAAAATAGAATTAAACTTGTTGAACACTCCTTGTGTACAACAAGTTTGACACTCGAAGATGTAGCAAAATCTATGCCATTGATTGTTTAAAGTGTTGTTAAAATCAATATATAAAAAGATGTCACTTCACAATGATGTCAAACTTGGTGTCAAACTTATTGTACATGTAACAAAATTGTAAAAATTAACAAGCAATTCCCCAAGTACAAGGAATTACTCATGTTGAATAATAAATAGATCACCAAGGATTTCAGGCTCAGTATATCGCCTAAATACCGAATCAAACACCACAATTCCACAAACCCGAAACCACAACTCAATCCCAAACAATCAGTTGCTTTCTTGGCTAGCCCACAAAGGGTTTTGGTATGAGTTATTTGCAGGCACACAAACAAGCCACATATGCTGGAAGAAACAAGAAGAAAAGCTCAACAGTGGAAGCACGAAGCAACTGTAGCCGCAGCCGGTTTCTCTCCTCACGGGTAAGTGCAAATATAATAATATCATACACACTACAGCCAAAAACCGAGAGTCAAAGCATATATAGGATAGATGTGGGCTTTTAGGTTAGGTAACAATTAGGCCAATAGTTCAAATGTAGTGGGTAAGTGGGCTATCGACCTAAGAAGCCATCCAAGATTTATGGGTCGGATCACGAGTAACACTAATTAAATTAGGCTACTTCAAATAGCCCAAATAGGTTGTAAAATTGGTTTGAGCGATTGTGGTGTCGATATATTACTCCAGTTATCTGGTTGATGCCGATTGAATAAACAATGATATTACATCATCGTCCGAGAAGTCGTTTGACAACAATTTGCTTAACAACTCATAGGGGCTTTACACAGACTAAGTTATTGGCTTCCTAACACATACTGAGCTATTATATTTGAGAATCAGAAATAGTGTCTTGTTTTATTTATTTTCCAAAAACACAGAAATTATGCAGTTCAATAGAATCACTCTACATCATAATTCCCAAATTTCCCATTATTCTATTATTGATATTCATATCAATAAAATCAAATTAGGTCCAATTATAGGATTTTTCCTATATATATATATATATATATATATACACACGTGAAGAC